CTGTGCGATGTGTTCCGCTAGTTCTGATCTTTCGAGTAGCTCCACCATACTAGATTTTGCCTAGGAATTTGACACTGCAATTGAGTAATAAAGATACCTTTAGCACCTTTCATTTTATATTTAAAGACGAATAGAAGGAATTCCATAAGTACCTTTTTACACCGGATTTGAACTCGTGTGAGTCATATCCTCGCGCAAATATGGTATTTTAGGCAGTTTTAAGGGTATATATAACTTTTATGGCAGAATGGGCCCCTTACAATCACGTTTGTGGTATTATGGTGGTGACGAGAATCAGTATTTTTTTCGAATCGGCACACTCGTTGTCCTCTGCAACAGAATTAGCATAGAATGCAAACTTTTCAACTTTATCAAAAATGAAAACTCTTCTAATGTATATGTTAACTCTTTCATAGTCATTCTTATCTTGTGACTCTGAAGTGACCCTTGGAAAGTAATTTGATTGAGCAGCCACTTTCTCCCTTATGAGCCCGCCACGGGAATATACGGCTCACATTAAAGTGGTTACAGTCAAAGGCGGTTTCTATCAACTTATAAGGCAGATATAAAAAGGACCGTTTCTCAGTGGATCAAGATCAGGGATAAATAATTGACAATTGAAAAAGTCAAGACGTTTCCGAAACTCATCTTAAGACAAGGTATGAGATAACTGGTCGAGAGACTGCATCAATTGAAGCATTTTAAAGACTTATTGTGTATGATTTCAGTTTCAGGTATTATGCTTTTAAGAATCGCCTTTGAACATTGCAGTGCTTTGGATGATTTTTTTGCAATGTGTCTTAAGAACTGCTACTAGAAGAATATTGGCATCAAGAAAGGGGACGGGGAAAGTCAGTAAAGTCAGCATGGCTTATTGAGAAGGACCCGGTTAAAGAAATAAAAGAAAATGAGACAAATAATGAGAATCAAATTTCAAAATGTTTGAAAAGAGTGCCTACTTTTTGTCTAGACTGTCTCGTTCCACATCTTCTGCCAGCAGATACAGTTGCTGCAAGTGCTCATCAAGAAATTCGTTGATATGGCAAACTGGCGGCCGGCCAGTGGCGGGTCCACTGCTCTCAGACGGGCTGTCCCAATAGCGCCGCTCACGGTCTCGCTCTCTGTGTCCACTTCTTGGATTTCGGTCTCTAACTGGCTTCTTCAAATGCTGCGAGGCCGTCGTCACTGGCCCGTCAAGATGGCTCTTTTTGGTAACTGCTATTTTGTCTTCAATAGCACCACTTTCATCAGTCCAACCGCAGTAAGCACAAAAGGAACCAAGCAGGACATCAAGCGCATGGCCATCTCTAAAGTTACCCTCAACCGGCGGACTGAAAGAGATGTCGTCTCTAAATGTGACGGAGTAGACATGAGGCGGTTCGGCTGTCAGATCTACCGATCGAGCTGGAGGGACAGTGAACTCGGATGCTTGTGTCGGGGAAATATAGGCGGTGGGTAGAGTTCGTGGGGGCTTTGAGCAAGGCTGAGGAGTGACTGGTGAAGAGAAGGACGAATTGGCGGATGACGCAAAGAAGAGATGAGCGTCTCCGGCGGACGGTCTCGCCGATTCCGGCAGAAGATGCATCACCTGTCGACTCCGCGCCAACCGGGCATCGACAGAAGGCCTACCTGCTCCCGAATGTGTCAGCAATTGCAGCGAACCGGTACGCTTCCAGCCGTGCCCCACGACCTTCTCTTCGGCCTTCTGTCTGGCCTCATTGCAGGCCCGGCCAACGAGCCGAAATGAGTGTCTTCGAGCCGTCCTCAGCGCCGCTGCTGCCGCCGTCGTGGTCTGCAGGTCCGGACCGGTGGCCGACTGGAGAGGCGACGCGTATGCGGGACAGCCTGAGCCCTCGGTACCAAGAATTGTGGGCCTAGCTGTACCAGCGAGGGAGTCGTGCGTCAGGACTCGCTTCCGTGGCAGGCAGTCGGTGAGATTGTGGGTGACATTGCTTAAATACGGCCATACGCCGTCCGGCTGGGCGGAGCCGGCCTCATTGAGGCGGTACTGTCCGATGTCACCGAAGCTCTCTTCGCAGCCGGCCTCCAAGAAGAGGAGCAACTGGCCCAGGGAACCTGTTCTAGAGCCGAGAGGCGAAAGGGACGCAAGCCAAGTGGTAGAGATCGGCTGCTCCAGCGTCAAAGCTGCCGGACAATCGGCGGCCGACTCAAAGAGCTCTTCCTCAAAGGGCGGCTTGGGAGAGGCTCGATTGGAGGGGCAGGCTTGACCGATTGCCTCGAGGCTGGGCGAGAGGTCGGAGAGAGAATCGGTCCTAGGCGGACCGGTGAAACGAGGAGGTCGGAGATCAGATGTCGCGGAACTGCTCGGAAGACTGGAAGGGGAGATCTGGTGGGCAGATGAGCTATCAGTGTAGACAGACGAGAGCCGATTCCGATGGGAGTCGGCTTGTTGAGCAGACGAAGTTTTCGTCGGTCGACAGCTGGAAAGTCAAAGAGATTGCCTGATCAACTTAGCATTAGTTGCCGCAACTAGCTCGCGCCTTCCTCAATGGCTGAGTGAATGCCAGAAAAGAGTCGAAATACATACGATTTGTAGGTGGTTAATTGTTCGCTAACTAATGCCCAGAAGGACAAACGTCAAGGGACCGCTAATTGGAGAAGTCAAAGTGTAAACGGCTAGAAAAATATTTTTATTTCCCATAAAACCAGGCTATTTAAATTATTTTCTCACATTCATTTGGTTTTATTAGATATATTTCACTATCCCTGCCTAGACGAGTGGCTTTAAAGTATACTTTGTAAATTTTCTTCTATAGGAAAAACTGTAGATACGAACAGTAACTGGGTTTTGATGAATCACCTGAGCTAACATTGTTGGGAAGATATGAAGACAATCATTAGGAACATGAGTAGAAAGGCTGAGAAAAATGTTGTTTAGAACAATTATCCGATATGATTGATTGTTAACAATATAAAAATATTAAAAAATAGAGTGAAATAAAACCATTATTTGAAACAAAACAAGGAATTAGACAACTCTTTGTCCATGCTTTCTAGAAAAATAAAGGAATTAATGAGGAAATGAAGCGTCAAGACAATGTATAAAGAAACAATAATGCTTTCCTCGATCATGCCTTCTTTTAGAGAACTTTCAGACGCCCTCTGCAGATCAGCATTTTATAAGGTTTAGTGCTCATGTGGTAGTGTTTATGTGGGAGGGACTTGTCGACCCATACATAAGAGTCTATTGGAATACAGATCTGCCTGCAAAGGTGTATGGATTTAGAAATCGGCTGTGCCTGAACACTTGGTAACTACAGGACACCAGACAGAGTATCTAAATCCCAACGTTTTGCCGGATATGGGGACTTAACAGCTAAGCGGAAGATCAGGGAGTCGATTGGAATTAACAAAGCAAACAACATCCTGAATAAGACGAATAAATATAGGAAACTAAGTAAGAACTATCTCTGGCTTCTAGATAGAATGAGAGAGAGAGAGACAGAGACAGAGACAGAAAGAAGCAAAGGGAACTGGAAGAGCCACTGATTAAGAGAAGACTTGACTAAGCTGGAGTCTGTTTTTGGACCTAAACTTGCCAACCAACTCATGGTTGTTGCATACGCCCACGAGCACGCATCCATGAAATTTTAACAAAACCCAGGGCTACAGGATCGACAAAAGTTTTAACAACATCCGCTCCCCTTTCTTCGTCACTTTGGCTCGCATGTAGGACGAGCATAAAACAGCCAGCCGAATCATAGAACGCTTCATTAAGATTGCAAAGTGAGGTATAAGAATTAAGTATGATCTCAGCCTGCCACTTTTATTGGTTTAGGTTTTTTGGTGATGGTTTCTGGCATTGACGATGTCCATCACATTACGGACGAAAGCTCAACACGGAGTCATCGGGGTCGTAGGACGCAGATTCGACGTCTCCTTTGCAAAATTCAATAAACATAAGTCCAAAGCAATCCTCCTTCGGTATCTGGTGCCGCCAATCTATTAATCCTTTCCACCCGCATCCTCAAACAAAAAAAGGTTTGCCAATATTATTGAGGAGACTTTTATTTCGTATGAAAGTGCGTGAAGAAAGGAGTCCACTGCAATTAATAGATCATGGGATACGTTGAATGTGAGGAAGGATGGAAGAAAGTGGAGTAGCAACTACTTATGCCTGATTGGTAGATTGAAGCAGAGAGAGGGTGTTGAGCCTCCATACCAAAGAAGGCGAGCCAACTTGCCCAATCAGTGATGATTATAACTTCATTCACACTCGTCAAACATGTTAGATTAAGCTCATCAACCAAACCAGACGTACCAGATTTTGCAGCTTCATTCACGCCTTTCCTTGTATGGTTAAACCTTAATTACCCTAGACTCAGAGGTTAGGACAGGTGATTTCTTAAACTGACTTACACACTTACTAGCTTACATTTCATTAATCACAGACGTACGCAGTCTATGTCAGGGATTTTTTCTTGGGTCATTAAGCCCTGATGACTAGAACGTGACATTAGCCTTTTTTGATCACTCTGATTTATGACGGTATTGCATACCGCACATGCATACACACAGACACTCGAATGAAAGTAGCAGGACGACTATGAAAGATAATTGTAAACCATTCTGTATCCATCAACCTGAGCGTTGTATTGAAGCCAAATGGTTGCAATACAACTGGATCCAGCCGTCTTCTTCTGGCGAGATCGACCTTCGAATCTCTTCTTCATGCACTTTCATACAAGTGAAAGTCTTCCCAACAATAGGAAAAACTGACGAATCTAGTTATCTATGATGAAAAACTTAACAGAACACCTAGTTTTTCAATAACCTCCCATTTTTTGATAATTACTATTGCTGAGTTCTATTCCACTGTATGTAAAAAGATATTCCTAGGTCGATTCCAGAAGAAGACAACGGATTCCTCTGCCGGATTGGTTGATGCTGTCTCGACACAATCATTTTATATTGCAGTGGAATAATGCATAACTTCCTTAAGAGCTGTATTTACTCTGGATTGCACAACATGCTGAAGCACGGTTAGTTGAATTTCCTCACAATCATATGAGTAGACTCCACGATATCATTGAATTTCACTTTGCAATATCTAAAATTGTTCTCATTCGGGCTAAACTACAGTTTCAACCTCACCAAAGTCTTAGCAACACCCCAACGTCAATAGATCCCGAGAAATGCAGCATGTAATTTCGACTTGTTACCACCACCCCACAGTTTCACGGAGTTGGCATGCGTAAATTTCTAGGGAAGCCAAGCCTTTCTATGTCGCATTCATGTAATTGGATCGTCAATAAGTCAAACTCTATGTGCTACTATAATCGACTACATTACTTATATTCATATTAAGTAGGTTTCGAAACTACCAGGTTATCTCAACTAAGAGCTGTAATTAACCTAAGACAATGAAGAACGGTTAGTCAAATTTTCCCAGTGACCCATTGATATCCGTGCCATGGTGGCCTGATGGTAACATGCTAAATTTATGCGCTACATTAATCGGATTCGATTACAGTCGAGGGTGCTGGTAAGAACCCGGCAGTCCATTCTAAACAAGAACACTTTTGGTGAGACAAGGCTAAGTGAAATACAACTATCAGTCCTTAATCACCTTATGCAACCCAAGGTGAGCACAGCGCTTATTCAAGAATTCACTGGTAGTTCAGAAATATACTCAACACGAATATGTAGGATTTTTTCTGTCAAATAATATTATTATTGCAGCCTAATATTATTGCAGATAATTCGGGATAATCAATCAAGAAAAGTCGCTGGCTTATCTCGAAATTCTCTCTTTCTCTATATATACGCATACAGTTATACAAATAACATTTGCGGGTGATCAGTTTTATCAGGTCAAGGCCAAGAAAGATTAACGCAAATGCAAGTTAGGCCAACACGAAATAGAAATGAAAAAATTGCAATGACACCAAGCTCCATGCCTAAATCAACTATTGAATACAGCTTCAAGACAATAATTTCAAATGACTTATGAATTCATTCACTTGGAATCCTTTGGGGCGCTTTTTTTAAACTAGATTGGAGCAATCGCGCATTCATTTACAAGGGAGGGGCATACAAATTCACATTATATCTACAATGCTGGTACATAATGATTGGAAGTCATCTGATTTCCTATTCGCACCCCAACTTGAGTCCTCACCTATCTAATTACGTAAGGGATGTCGACAGATACGGGATAGGTAGCCTGCGCAAAGATTCCTATCTGCCAAATCTTAGTAGTATGAGGTCTGTCGGTGGATTGTAGATAAAATGATTCTATTAACACTGTTCTATGGGGCTAAACTTCTGCTCCAATAATCTCAGGGTAATTTAAAGACTCATTTTGACGATTTGAAACCGGTTACACTGGGTGGTGCATGGAGGCCATCTAAATAAAAGAATAACTGATATTTATTATTCTGCGACAAAGTCAACTAATATTTGATGCGTTCAAATTCGGACTACCACGCTTGTTCAAGCAATTCTCCCATAAAGTCATAGAAATGAATTCGGATTGGGTTCAGGCTTTGTCAGTAGCATTGAAATAAAGATTGCAGTCAGATTACAAGTGTGGTGAAAATTTGATTAACTCATAAACTGTTGACCTGGACTTAGATAAAGTCGACTTGAGGTCATTAAGGAAAGTAAGCTTGACAAAAGAAGCGGTATTTTTAAATTGAAAAGGACAGATTTAATCGACGATCAGTGAATGAATAATATCTCTCATATAAATGATCTACTGGTAGTCTCGAAAACCTGCTTATAAAACGAAATATAAGTAAAG